AATACAAAAATAAATAAATAAAAGATTTATGAGGAGAATTTGCATTATTCTCGGACAAATAATTTTAGTAACAACCTGCTTTACATAACCTAAAAACACTGACTTTACATGATTATGTTGTCACTGATTATATATCTCTAATATACCACGATTTTATTACGAATGGTTTGGCATTCACGTAACAGCACCTCTGCTATGCTATCGAGTGAGTTGAGAGAGAATCGGTGTCCGGCTAGCTTGTGTGCCTGCTCCTCTAATGCCGCCTGCTGCGCTAGCAAGACGCTCTTCACTGATTCGCACGTGTCCACGCACAGTCCCATGCCATTCAATTCCATCTGAGAGAGCATCTTCATGCAGGGCATCTCGATGCTGGTGAACACACTGCAACACATGGCGTTACAAGCATTCGTGTCTGTAATACGAACTACGGCTCTTAGAATTCCTTGTACACATGCACACACGCACACACTATACACGTACGTACAGACACACACACAACACATGTACGCACGTACACACGCACAGACACACACCTGCACACAACATACGTACGCACAGACACACGTACGCATGCACGTACGCATGTACACACACGCACACACGCACGCATCCACACACGCGCACGCGCACGCACACGCGCACGCACACACACACACACACACACACACGCATACACACACACACACACACACACACACGCAGGCACACATTGTCTGCTGTAAGCTGCACCTACTTCATCAAGTCGTGCTGCTGCAGTCTCGCACGGAGCTGTTGCATCAGAGAGAGGCACGTGAGAGCTTCACACGCGGCGCGCGCCCGCCCGCTCACCCGTGTTTCCACCTGCATGCCCAGGCCACCCATCCCTCGACACTTTTCCGCCACGGCTGCGAAACGCAGGAAACCAAGTGAACACGAGAGTAAAAACGAAATTGCGACAAAACACGCAAACGTCAACATAAGATACGGTTATTATTATACTATTAGAGAACGTTAGAACAGATGATGTGCAATGTACATGACAGTGTAAACTATCCAGGCAACATGTAATATTACTGTATTACAGAAAGACACTATCATAAAGTCGGCAATAGCCCGGTTGGAACTGTTATGCGCTTGGAGCATGAGTATGTATGCATACGAGGCATATATAATGTGAGGAATAAGGGGTGACTTTACCAGATGTGGATTTTGGAGCCATGGGAAGATAGTCTGTGATGAGTTCATGGAGATTCTTCACTTTGGAATCTGGGTCCAACAGCCATAAAGCCACGTTTGGATCCTTATGTGGGAACAACATGATTTATTTATATTAATGCATACAATATTACCTATACAATATTATACGTAACGTGAAATGATTATCGAATTCTCGAGAACTACGAATATACATTTCAACAGAAATCTCGTGAAAACCCTGTGATAGAATTTAGTGCTGAACATTTTTAGACAGTTCTACAGACACCAGTGACATCAATATAAGTGACAAACAAGTGCCGCAGAGCGACAGCGCTCACCTGACGGC